TATTTAAGTGATGATTTTCAACAAAACTTCTAGAAGTCAGCTTTATTATGTCAACGTTCACGCAAAGTGCTTATGCCTCTGATTGGTCCATTCACTGACGTGACAATTTCAAATCCTATGTTCACAAAGAAAGGGGCCAGGCGGGCCGCGGTGGCTCACGCCTGTAATCCCAGCACTTTGGGAGGCTAGGGGGGCGGTTCATGAGGTCAGGAGATCGAGACCATTCTGGTTAACATGGTGAGAACCCTGTTCTCTACTAAAATGCAAAAAAAAATGTGCCGGGCATACTGGCGGGGCGCCTGTAGTCCCAGCTACTCGGGGAGCTGAGCAGGAGAATGAACCCGGGAGGCAGAGCTTGCAGTGCAGCCGAGATCGCCGCCACTGCACTCCAGCCTGGGCGGCGCAGAGGGAACTCCGTCTCCAAAAAAAAAGAAAAAAAAAAAAAAATGGGGGCTAAATATTCAGTGAGATGCACCGAGGAAAGGAAGCATTTTGCTCAAGACAGCAGCAGCAACCAACAACCGTCTGTTTGTTGCAAACAAGATGTAGCTTGATTTCTGGTCTGACATATGCCATCTGTGGATATTAGAAACAACTGTTTGAAGGCCACATTGGCCATCTACAAAGTAGTGTTTACCAATTAACAGGGATTTAACTAGATTAAAAAGATCAAAGTGTGGTTTTTCTCTGCTTTTTAAAATTTCGCTCGGAATTTGTAGCTGGGCCAATTCAACACGTTTTACTTTTCAGTGGAATTGATTTTTCTAATGTTTCAGAATTTTAACATATCAAGAAGAAAACAACGCTCTCAAAGTCTAGCCTTTTTCGCGTGATGTAAACCTATAGAAATGCTTTGAAATGTGCTGGGGTAAGATAAGAGTTATCTTGTATGATTTAATCGTATGCAGTGTTGTCTCAGTTATGTTCAGGGAAATGTTTCTGTGTCATTCAGAGATGCTTGATGAATTCACACCTCCCACCCTGAGTGAGGGGTTGACTTGTTGGGAAATGATTTGGGCTTCACTGGGATCTGTGACAGGTGGGGGACTGGGCTGGGTGTCACAAAGAGAATAGTGGTAGAAATGGGGTGAAGGAAGAAAGAAGTTGCTGGTAAAAATCATTACACCATAAAGCACCAAGCAAATAACTGAGTTAAGATAGGTGAAGTTTTTTTCCCCCCCGTAACAGGAGATTTTTCCTTATGATAATTATTCTAAGACTTGGTCACTTTGTTTTTGAATGTGGAGCTGCTGAACTCATTCAGAAGCTATTTGCTGTCTGTCAGGACCTTCTGAAGAAGTTCTTTTGCCTCTGCCTACCCTCTGGCACCCTCCCATGAAGGCACAGGTGACCTAGAGCTAAAGCATTACCGGGCCATCTCCAAAACACCCTGAATGTGTGTGTGCACTTTGCAGCCCCCGAGGTGGAGAGGCAGTGTCTGGATCACTGTGAATTCATTGCCCCATTGGTCAGTTGGGGACACTGTTACAAATCCTCATTGTAGTCCTGGTAAAACTGTCAGAATAACAGGCCTCTTCTGTTCTGCCCTGCTCACTTCTACGGTGAGTTACCAGCCTGGGCAACATAGCAAGACCCCATCTCTACAAAAAATTTTTTTAAAGTAATTAACAGTTTAAATTTTTTCCTAAAGATTTAACGTGATTTTTCCCTCCTATGTAAAGTTTACTGGAGAGACTTGAATTAATTCTTTAAATTCATGTTAATATGATTTTTTAAAAGTCCAGGTCACATTTTAACAAAGTTTATTATGGAGGAAATGAAATTTGAACTCTAAAATGGTACTCCTTGGCTTCCTCTAGTCATAATGAACTTTATATTTTCTTTGTCCTTAGGAACTAAGATAGTTGTTTTACTTTAGCAGAATAACAGAGATTAGCACTCCTGCAGGCCCCCACCGCTGGCCCAATGGGGTCTTTCTGACCTAGCTGTGTTAGCATCGATTGAGAAATGCAAGGTCCTAAATTTTAAATTGCCTTTCTTACAAACACAAAGAAACTATAGAAAATGGGTTAAGAGTATATGCATTTCATCAAACACAGAGAGAGAAAAAAAATCCTTCATTTTAGAGTTAAATAACTCAGCTTTGTGTAGCAGAGTTAGCTCTCCAGTATCTAACCATCTCAAAATCATCTCTGAAAACTGGTAACTATGCTTCCATTTTTAATTTTGTCCTAAATATCAGATGTCTTTGATGTAAGGGTAGGGAATGGAGAAATATTTTCAATTGTGTATTTGTATTACAAAGAACTTGAAATTTACTTTCTTAGTTGATTATATTAAATGATGTATATATTATATGTGGTTTATAAGCTCAACACTGGCCATTTTTTTAGTTTTATTGTTAAATGGTATTTTTCTATGTTTAATTATAATAGATTTGGCTTTTTCTGGATAGCATAAAGATCACTGATATATATATATAAGAAACAAGAGTTCTATTTTAGCACAAAAGCATTTTATATTATTTATTGAATCCCTAAGTTTGTTGTCATCAAAAACATTCCATATTATTTCTGCTCCTTTTTATTTGTATAGTTTGTTATTTAAAGAAATGGCAGTCCTTCCTGTTCTTAATACAATAAAATGGAAATAATGCACATAGCAATGTGGCCAACATCTCTTCTCACTACCATAGACTGTTTTCAACAACAGTTGATCTTCTGGTCTGTGCTGAGAAGCGCATGCACGTCTTTTGTCACATCGGGCAGCAAACCTGCTATGAAATACTGCTTTCATCTACCTCTTCAGAAGGCCTCTTTGCTTGTTGACAAGTACCCCAAAGGCTTTATTCTGGACTGGCTATCTCATAAAAGGATTTCTGTAAGACTCTGCAGTGTCATTCCCTCAGAACCTAGGTTTGTTTCTAAAGCCACAGTATTGTCCACGAGCCCCTGTGCGTGGGGCAGGTAGCTATCCCTCCCATGTCGTTGGTAATCCTTTAGGATTCAAGGGACAACTGGACAGCATCATTCTTTCCCCTTATTGTGCCAAATCCCCACCATCAGCCTTGCCATTGCCTTAAGATTCGATTATTGCACCCAATTACCCAACCACTAAACAGAAAGGCCACCTTCACTCTTTGAAAAAGACAAGCTGTGTCTAGAAACACTGCTTTTAAGAGGAGCACATTTG